CTACCCAGAGCGAAACATGACTTGATAAGGCCTACCCAGAGTGAAACATGACTTGATAAAGCCTACTCAGAATGAAACATGATAAAGCCTACCCAGGGCCAAACATGACTTGCTAAAGCCTACCCAGAGCGAAACATGACTTGATAAAGCCTACCCAGAGCGAAACATGACTTGATAAAGCCTACTCACAGCGAAACATGACTTGATAAAGCCCTACACATAGAAACATGACTTCATAAAGCCTACTCAGAATGATACATGATAAAGCCTACCCAGGGCGAAACATGACTTGATAAAGCCTACCCAGGGCGAAACATGACTTGCTAAAGGCTACCCAGAGCGAAACATGACTTGATAAAGCCTACTCACAGCGAAACATGACTTGATAAAGCCCTACACGGAGACACATGACTTGATAAAGCCCTACACGGAGACACATGACTTGATAAAGCTCTTCTCATAGACATGATAAAGGTCAACAATGAAAGGTCCCAGGAACTGATAATGCTTTACATAGGGAAATACTTGATAAAACTCTATATAAGGGAAAACAAGAGTTTATAAAGCTCTAACAGCAGCAATATAATCAGCAGAGACAGCAGCAGTACCAGCAGCACTATAATCAGCAGAGACAGCAGCAGTACCAGCAGCACTATAATCAGCAGAGACAGCAGCAGCACCAGCAGCAATATAATCACCAGAGACAGCAGCAGCACCAGCAGCAATATTATCAGCAGAGAGCACCAGCACTGTTACAAAAAACGCGATTCTAAAAGCTTAGAGATCTCCAGTGAATACTAGAAAGGACTGCCCTTCTAGCATCCAGCCTGTTACTGGGTTTTCGTAACAATTAGTCAGTATCCTTGTCCAATTATCCATTAGAATTCAGTATGATTCAATAGTGCTTCAGGATTACAACTGGTAGGCTACTAACTAGAGAAATTAAAATTTAATAAATTTATTAAGTCTAGAGGTATATTATCAAATTAAATTAAATTAATCACAGTAATCAAAATAATATTAATCACTTCTCTCGTATACAGTAGTATTGTGCTGAAAGCACATATCACATTTATAATTCTTAAGTACCGTCTGGTACATTAACATTTAATAAGATATTACAAATATGTACAAGTAAGTTTGTGTGTATGTGTGTAAGTGCTCTAAGTAGTTCGCTATGTCTCACGACTCGACTAGACTTAAACAAGTGACTAAGTCCTCAGATAAACTAACTTCTTGACCGACTGGCAATCAGAACAGTCTGCTTGAACAATAAAAAGAATGCTAAGCCCAATAGCAATATAACAAGCAACTGCAACACAGAATCAGGAACAAGGAGATAATATAACGACACTAATTAGGGACCATCAGCAGATCCTCCACAAAAGTCACAAAACTCCCATACTACTGAATCTAAGTTCAGCATAAGAAAATCCCGACTGTGACAGTACACAGAAACCAGTACAAATTAGGTCAGAAGCTACAGCTCAGGACCTGAGTTGCTCAGTGTCTCTAAGAGACACACAACCTCAGTACAACGTCGAAAATCACTAAGTCTATCCAAAGTTCTGTGAACAGAGTCTCCAGAACTAACAAGAATAATGAGACAAGAGACGATCTTCCAGCAAGGGCCAATAAGGGAGAATTAGGCACTTCTTGTCAGGAATATGTCCAACCACCAAGAGAGTCTAGACCAGACTGAATACTTCAGGCGAGGTGTGATCACCCCCCCCCCACCCTCGATCATGTGATAGCTCCGTGGACAGCTGCAGCTCAGAAACAGAAGCCGGCAGAATAACGAGCAAAGAGCGATAATTACAGTAGTTAGACAATCAAGACTTGAACTGAGCACATAATATGTTACATCCTACCTAACAACATAACTAAGTCAAATAATAATATAAAGCAATATTTTCACGATTTAGCTATTATCACAAATATAAGCAATATAAAATTATATGAAAAGGTAATATACATGTAATATATATACATAATATACATTGCAACCCATTCAGGGATGCAACAAGCACCAGCAGCAATGTAATCAGCAGAGAACAGCAGCACCAGCAGCAATGTAATCAGCAGAGAACAGCAGCACCAGCAGCAATGTAATCAGCAGAGACAGCAGCACCAGCAGCAATGTAATCAGCAGAGACAGCAGCACCAGCAGCAATGTAATCAGCAGAGACAGCAGCACCAGCAGCAATGTAATCAGCAGAGACAGCAGCACCAGCAGCAATGTAATCAGCAGAGACAGCAGCACCAGCAGCAATGTAATCAGCAGAGAACAGCAGCACCAGCAGCAATGTAATCAGCAGAGAACAGCAGCACCAGCAGCAATGTAATCAGCAGAGACAGCAGCACCAGCAGCAATGTAATCAGCAGAGAGCAGCAGCACCAGCAGCAATGTAATCAGCAGAGACAGCAGCACCAGCAGCAATATAATCAGCAGAGAGCAGCAGCACCAGCAGCAATGTAATCAGCAGAGACAGCAGCACCAGCAGCAATGTAATCAGCAGAGACAGCAGCACCAGCAGCAATGTAATCAGCAGAGAGCAGCAGCACCAGCAGCAATGTAATCAGCAGAGACAGCAGCACCAGCAGCAATGTAATCAGCAGAGACAGCAGCACCAGCAGCAATGTAATCAGCAGAGAGCAGCAGCACCAGCAGCAATGTAATCAGCAGAGACAGCAGCACCAGCAGCAATATAATCAGCAGAGACAGCAGCAGCACCAGCAGCAATATAATCAGCAGAGACAGCAGCAGCACCAGCAGCAATGTAATCAGCAGAGACAGCAGCACCAGCAGCAATGTAATCAGCAGAGACAGCAGCACCAGCAGCAATGTAATCAGCAGAGAGCAGCAGCACCAGCAGCAATGTAATCAGCAGAGAGCAGCAGCACCAGCAGCAATATAATCAGCAGAGACAGCAGCAGCACCAGCAGCAATATAATCAGCAGAGACAGCAGCAGCACCAGCAGCAATATAATCAGCAGAGAACAGCAGCACCAGCAGCAATGTAATCAGCAGAGAACAGCAGCACCAGCAGCAATGTAATCAGCAGAGAGCAGCAGCACCAGCAGCAATATAATCAGCAGAGACAGCAGCAGCACCAGCAGCAATATAATCAGCAGAGACAGCAGCAGCACCAGCAGCAATAATACAGCAGAGACAGCAGCAGCACCAGCAGCAATATAATCAGCAGAGACAGCAGCAGCACCAGCAGCAATATAATCAGCAGAAAAGCAGCAGCACCAGCAGCAATATAATCAGCAGAGAGCAGCAGCACCAGCAGCAATAGAATCAGCAGATAGCAGCAGCACCAGCAGCAATATAATCAGCAGAGAGCAGCAGCACCAGCAACAATATAATCAGCAGAGACAGCAGCACCAGCAGCAATATAATCAGCAGAGAGCAGCAGCACCAGCAGCAATATAATCAGCAGAGAGCAGCAGCAGTACCAGCAGCAATATTATCAGCAGAGAGCAGCAGCAGCACCAGCAGCTAAAAGAATGACTCCAGCATGTGAAGCAGCGTCAACAGCACTGTTACCACCAGCAGCCGAAGTTGCAGCAGTAATAGCAGCAGCATGAATAACAGCATAAAGAGCAACGGCACCAGCAGCAGTAATAGCAGCAGCAGCAGCAGTAGTAGTAGTAGTAGTAGTAGTAGCAGCAGCAGCAGCAGTAGTAGTAGTAGCAGCAGCAGTAGCAGAAGTAGCAGCAGCAGTAGTAGCAGCAGCAGCAGAAGTAGTAGTAGCAGCAGCAGCAGTAGTAGAAGCAGCAGCAGTAGTAGTAGTAGCAGCAGCAGCAGTAGTAGTAGTAGCAGCAGCAGTAGTAGTAGTAGCAGCAGCAGAAGTAGCAGCAGCAGCAGCAGAAGTAGCATCAGCAGCAGTAGTAGTAGCAGCAGCAGCAGTAGTAGCAGCAGCAGTAGTAGTAGCAGCAGCAGCAGTAGTAGCAGCAGCAGCAGCAGCAGAAGTAGCAGCAGCAGCAGTAGTAGTAGTAGTAGCAGTAGAAGTAGTAGTAGCAGCAGTAGTAGTAGTAGCAGCAGCAGTAGCAGCAGCAGTAGAAGTAGCAGCAGCAGTAGTAGTCGTAGCAGCAGCAGTAGTACTAGTAGCAGCAGAAGTAGCAGCAGCAGCAGCAGCAGGAGAAGTAGCAGCAGCAGCAGAAGTAGCAGCAGCAGCAGCAGAAGTAGCAGCAGCAGTAGTAGTAGTAGTAGCAGCAGTAGTAGCAGCAGCAGAAGTAGCAGCAGCAGAAGTAGCAGCAGCAGTAGTAGTAGTAGTAGTAGCAGCATGTTAGCAGCAGCAAAGTACAGCAGCAGTAGTAGTACACAGCACAGTAGCAGCAGCAGCAGCATATATAGTATAGTAGAGTATTAGCAGCACACAGAATAAAGCAGCAGAACGAGCAGCATGTAGTATAGTAGCAGCAGTAGACGCAAAAACAG